ATATATATATATATATGTATATATACATATATATTTATGTATATATATATATACATTCGTGTGTGTGTGTGCGTATATATTGTTATAATGTTATATTGTTATATTGTTATATTGTTATGTTGTCATTTATATTGTTATATTGTTATATATTGTTAAATACTGTAGTATATTGTTATATATTGTTCTATTTTGTTATATATTGTTGTATATTGTTACATACTGTTATATTTTGCTATTGTTATTTTTATTGAAGAAGAAATATATTCGTTTTTGCTTTTAAATCATAGATACCTTGACATTCAAATATTTATTTTGAAATCGATACAAGAATAGATTTAGTCCTACATTCAAACAAATGTTGTGTTCCAGAAGGACTTATATTCACGATTTTCACTCACTACAGTTGCATTTGCAGAATTTCGACATAGAAAATGTTGTTTTTTACTCGGACTCAAATACACTGTTGTTTAATCATTTCAGCTCAAAGGGATCTTGAACTGAGTCGAAGGGTTCACCTCACTGGGCAGTGTTCAAACCAAATCCACATTCCTATCACTATTTACTAACACGCTCGCTTTCGGCTAGAACGCAACGAGTCCATTGTACTAACTTTATTTTATACATGAGAGTTTTTTATGTGTGCGGGCAGTTGCGTATACCGCGCGTATGTCTTAACAAGTACACGACGAACCTGTTCGTTTCAAGTTGTTAGCTCCTTTATTCTCTACCTTATCTGCATCGTATCCCCGTGCCTCTGCGTCGGGACTCGGGACCGAGTACCGAATATCATCTCAAATCCGGACATTATTGGATAGAATTTTAAAACAACTATAAGTGGAAGACATTACAACTGCACCGCTATCCATGTGCATGTTAATCTTGTAAATACATCGCGATTTCGTGACGAGGGACAGTCACTGGAAAGGGATAAGCTGATACTAAAACAAGGATTCCCTGCTATCTACTCTAAGAGTGATTTTACAGTTACGCTTTAGTATGTACGTTAATGCTTTACAGTCTATAACAAATACCTCCGAACTTTCGGAGTTTCAGTTTCTAAGTTTCCACAGCTGCTCCACAGCTCCAGTGCTCTTCGCATGTTTATATATATATATTGTCTATGATGGGATTGATGGAGTACATATAATTCTAAATTTCAAATTTGGCCTATGGAAGTTGGAACTGCATTGTTCTGGAACTGCATGACTCATTCTATTGGGTGCACCTTTCCCTTCCGACGCTGATTGTTTATTTTTTTTTAACCCCCGCATACTGTGCTACTAGCAATGGCAGGCAAAACGGCGGCTCTGGGAGGCTAGCCACTGGGACAGACACAAGATACATGATATTTTAAATTTTAAAAATACATCACAAGTTCAGTGTTCACAACTGCCCGCCATCTTCCAACTTCCAAGTGCCAACCTCTTTTTTTTTAAACGTATGTATTTACATACTACGAAATAGCGTGAAATGCCATTAGGGATGACATTTATACTTTGGTTCTACTGCAACTTCTACAAGCAAAAAAAAGTCGAAAATTCATACTAGAGACGAGTCAGTTCGAACTCATCGTCATCGGGGGCAGAAGGGCCATAGGCCCATAGCCAATACTTCAATTTGATATAATATTTCCCTTTTTCTAAAATATACGTGTGATACAAAAAAGCTCGCGAGAAAGTGATGCGAGTCATGTGACTGTTTGACGTGAGTGTGAAACTGTAAGATAAAAGAAAAGAAAAATCCAAAACAAGATGTGTAAATTGTGCACGTCGAAAGTGGGAAATGTATCGTGTTGGGGTCATAGCAATACCAGCATGGCACAGACTTCACACAGCTTAGCCGCCTACAGACTACAGTATTAGTAGTCTAATCCATAACTGGGCCATGACTTTACGGTATGACGATATGAAGTCCATCATCAGCGTATTGTCTCTGTAGCCGATGATAAGACCTGTTCAGCAATCAACCTAGTATTAAACTCAAGTGCTACAGAAATGCGGATATAAGATATCTACCACATGTGGTATCACTCGTAAAATAGATTCTCAAATATGACACGCAAGTTGACTTCATACTAGCGGCGTAATTACAGACGATATAGAATTGAATTAAGTACTAGCACGACTCAAGAATTGAGATCATTCTTTCGTGAAGATTTCTTTATTCTTGCGTTGTGTAAAAGGTTGGACATAATACGACAGAAATTAGGAATATACATAGTCTGACGTGAGTAGAAAGCCTTAGAATGGACTAATGAAAGCACGCGTCTCCTCTGTACCTCTCCGGTATATATGCGATAAATTATTCTCAGCGTGTGATTTACTGATTGTGTCCAATACTACCTGACCATTTTACCATAGCCTTCCGAGCATCTGAGATTATCAAAGCTGCTTTTCAGCTTCTGACGTATTCTTTTTTTTTTAATTATACAACTTGCAAGTTGCAACATGCAAGAAGGTGCGACTTGCAACTTGGCGGCCGTTTTTAACTTTTTATTTTTATCTCTCTATAATTTTTATGCAGAGAGTAAATATTTGTTGGCTCCTCTTTTTCGGTTTTTTCGTTTTTCTGTCGACAAAAACAAGTAATAAAAGTGCTGATATTTTTGTTTTTTTTGCTTCTTTTAAAAATGTCCCTTTGAAGTGTTTGGATGTCTTGGTCGATGGCGCCACCCTCTAAGACTCAAGAGTCTAAGGCTCTGAATAAACAAGTCTAATATATATATATGTTTTTATTTTTAAATACAACGCCTGACGGCTGACGGTAGGAATAGTCATCCCAAGAAGTGCACACAGTGAAGTTGGTGAGCTGTGTGAGCGGTGGGCGTGGTCGCGATACCGTGAGTAACCGTGGGCGTGAGCCGTGACTCACCGCGAGGCGTGACAACGAGAGTCCGTGCCTCCGTGGGCGTGAGTCTCTCAGACTGATGCGTTTCTGGAGATTTGTTAAGACTGCGACCACTATGACTGCGATTCTACATACATATTTAGCATCAGTGCCAGACTGCCAGTTAGGCGTTTGGGGTTTTTTATATATGTAAAATAAAACAATATCAGTTCCATAACCAGTGATGAGTGATGACTCTCATCATCATGAGTCTGTTCACTGACAACTCTTTTCCGACTTATTTGTTTTTTTTAGTTAAAACAATTATAAAGATGTATTGCTCTTTTTCAGCATATGAATTTGTTTAGCGAATGAAAACACGCCAGTGGGACTCGCCCACGTGAGGTCAGTAGTCAATCAAGGATATGCTCTATTATGGCTACAATTTTCAATAATCAACTACTCAGAGCGATGAGATCATTCATCGAACACAATCCCAACCACTAGAAACCTGAAAATTGGATTGCTTTTAGCTATTTCGAGTTTTCGGTTTGTACTATTTCTTTTTGCTTGTTTTTTACAAAAATCAAATAATAAGTACTAAATTATGACCGATGTACTAAAGTTATAAATGAACAAACACTCAAACATTACGGCCCGGGCAGAGCGTAGGGCGTACATAGGGAATTGGGGTCAAAATGTTAACTCTCTCAGAGACTCTCTCTCTGTCTCTTGTTGTGAGTAGCTAGCTGGTGAGTAGAGTAGTCGGTAGAGTATTTTTGCAAACGATGAGCTGAGGGCACGGGCCAAAGGCCCACGGGGCAAGTCAAACCGGTTTTTTTTTGTATTTTCTAGATTTGTTTTTCAAACAACAATGCTAAAATAGTAAATAATACAAAACACGACAAACAACAACTTGGAGGCCCGGAGCCCGGAACCCGGAGCCCGGAGCCCGGAGCCCGGAGGGCGGAGTGGCGGTCTGGCGAAAGTCCCAAACGATCATATAGTTACGATATTGTAAACATATAAATTAACTCGCACAAACGATAAAAATATCATATTGTTCCTATTTAAATTTACACACGACGCGCAATCACAAAATGGTTTCTAGAATCATCGCATCCGCCGCATTAGTTGCTCATACTTTTGCCTCATCTATTGTTGCGAGACAGACTGTCAACGCCACTGTAGAAGTAAATAGTACCAACGCCACTGTAGGAGTAAATAGTACCATGGTCAACATAGCATCATTCTGTACAGAAAACACGGCCACGTGTGATACTTACGACTTTTGTCAAACCAAGGTCGATGAGCTTACGAACTTACCGTACTGCGACTCTATCAGCACCGTGATTGAGGCTTACAACGATGCTATTTGCATTACTGAACCCGTAGAGATTACTTGTGATGCCGACTTGCTCTGCAAGTGGAGCACCTCGAAAGGGAAGTGTGTAGGAGATAATGAGAGTATCACTATTGTATACGAGGGTGAGAACGTTACTATCTCCAACGAGGGAGTGGCCCCACAGAACGGAACATACGAGCATGCTCCATCATACTGTCGCACATTCACCACAGAGATCGCCTGCGACGCCGTTGTTGGCGTGTGTGAGTGGGAGCTTGCTGACAATGTCGAGACATTCGCAGATGAGTGTGGAACAAAGAAGAAGACCATCACTAACACCAACCAGCTAGTATGCACTGGTCTTGAAGATGCTGCTTGCGGCGCTGATTTGCGCTGTGAGTTCGGCAATGAGACAGAAGGCTGCTTGGGTAGCGAGAAGATGTTCCTCCTGCCAACCGCAATCTAAATTTAAATACGATGCAAAAATTGTTCAATCAATAAAACCATCATATCTTTTATTAACTGTAAAACATTCTTTGTCGCTATGTATGTTGGTGTTTTTTTACTGTACGTATATGCATACGCTAAAGTATGTAAGACGCCAGAACCTCGACAAATTTTAATATCGTTACAGTCTTGTCTAATTGTTCATAATATCCTGTTGAAGACGCATGGATGTTCGGATTTGGGAACTTTTATCAGCAAGTCAATGAGTGGACAGTTCTATGACTGTATTTTGAACGATAAGATATCACAGGGGATCTGTTCCCTATATCGTTCAGCTAATTGCTGACTGAGTATGTAGTGGCTGGAACGCCACGTCAGGCGTCTCCAAATTACGCATTTATCTGTTTGGTACAAAATGACTGCAATACTATATATCCCATTTCTGTATCAAGCTCCCGGGCGGCAATTCTTACCGTGGCCCACTCCCCATAGTCGAATGGCTATTTATACCATTGTCTGACCGAGATCTCTTTTGGTTGCTGAACTGCACCTGATAAGAAGGTCAAAGTATAGCCCTCGTCAAACTCTCAATTACTTGCCAATCAAGAAAGTAGACAAATCGTGCGTTTGCCCTGCACCACACTTTTCTTCTGTTATAATAAAGTGAGCGATGGTCACAATCTTGATACGCCTCACTTTCATGATCATCTGCCCTTTGATCAATTCGAGCATTGTGGGCTACCCCGTGGAAACCCCACGCGACAATGGCGGTGAGCACTGTGGTGGTCTTGGAGGTACATGTATGTCTGTGGCTCACTAATGTCACAGACGCAGTGCAGCGATACAATGCTACCTCTCTGGTCCGTGGTAACGATTGTATATCGTTAAAGATACATGCACAGGTGTACACACTTCCTATCCACGTCTGTTATCGTCGGCGTATTTTCCTCGGTTGGTTGACTTAAAGCCCTCGAATACCTTTTAACAAGGATGTCGAATTCATCCACGTGTGAATCTTTCATATGTGTCACCTCTCGTTGTCATCTGCCGTCCTTTGACACGCCGCCATCATACCATCCACAGTTGTCAGTAGTTCATCAGTGCTGCAGCCCATTGTCTCCCACCATTGCGACTACATGAATATATTTAGATAGAAAGGAGTTCGAAATTAGATAATATGGCCCGTCCGAACCCATGATTGGAGATATATTGGGAGGATTTTAAGACCAGAATGTACATGCTCTAATAGAAACACCAGTGTGGTAGCCATTTTGGCAAATTCCTTAAGCTAATTGTGTTTTGCTTGTCCAGTCGCATTCTGGAGTACATAATAACTTCCCTCACAACACACCTCGTAAACAGGTAAGAATACGCAAACACGTGCACGCCTTAATACCTGCGCTAGCATATACTCTATATCTGAACGTGTCTCGCAATATGTGCGCTTACCTCTATATCTGAACGTGTCTTTTAATATATGAGCGCACATGTATATTTGGGCTGGTGCACGCATGCAAACATATATGTGTTTGTAACCGTTGAAAGTCGTTGCACGTGAGCGCCATTTCGATGACAGTAGTCTCAAATATATGCGTGCCTGTGTGTGGTTGTGCATGTTTCTGAGTGAGGACGTAGTCGTGTTGTCATACATTGTTTTGTATGCGTATTTGTCATTGTTCGTTTTTTCAGTCCCCTACGTCTCACACACATATATAT